GGCAGTGGGGGGCCGTGGTCACCCTGTGATCACCCTGGATGGCAGTGAGGGGCAGCAGTCACCCTGTGATCACCCTGGAGGGCTATGGGGGGCAGCGGTCACCCCTTCAGTTGTTCATCCTCTGTGAAGCTTGGCACTGTTGAGAAGAGATTCTGGTGTGTGTGACTTAAGTCCCCATCAGGTGGTAAGATGGTCAGAACAGGCTTTCCTGAGCAGGACCTTGAGAAAGGACTGTTTCCAGAAACCTAGACTAGCAGTTGGCCTCTCCCCTCCTTCCTTCCCCCTCCCCTCCTTCCCTTTCCTTTTTCCCCTCCCTTCCTCCCTCTCTCCCTTAACCTGTAAAAGGTACATACTCAGCATTAGGCCAGGAGCAAATGAGGTGGTTTCAGTATGTTTGGATCTTCCTTCCTGATTGCTATCAGTGCTGAGAGGGCTCCTTTCCTCCCTTTCTTTCCCCATCGCTCCCCCTTTCCCCTCCCTTCTCCATTCCAGTCATTCTAGCAGGCTTTGTCAAGGACTCGTGCTCTCAGACTGTCTTCAGTCTCCTGCGGACACCCTTCTCTTTCCTGCACGCTTTGTCGAGGATTCAGACTGTCTTCAGTCACCCGCGAACACCCTTCTCTTTCCCGCAGCTCTTTGAAGGCTTGAAGGCTTTTCGGGGAGTGGATAACAAGATCCGGTTGTTTCGACCAAACCTCAACATGAAGAGAATGTACCGATCTGCCGTGAGGACCACTTTGCCGGTATGCGCACCTATGATACCGTCCATTTCATGATTTGTTCCCGTCTTGTATCAAACAAAACAAGGCAGGAATCCTTGAATAATTGCATCAGGTTTTCAACAGATTGTATGAAGGCTGACTTTATTTTATTATATAGGCAGGGTACTTCCGGTAAGGTCAGAGGACTCCTTGCAAGAGCCAGTTCTCTCAGCCACATCAGTTGGTGGCAAGTGCCTTAATTTGCTGAGCCGTCTTAAGGCACTTATTGTAAATTTTAGTGCCTTTGTGTAGAGAAGAAAATTAAAACCACCCTGGGGAGAGCAAACCACTTAGCCAAGGTCTCTCAGGTAAGAAAGTGGGCTTAAGTTTCTTTGATTTCCTAGCCTAGGTATTCATGGGATTGATTAAACTTCATCTCTGACCAGCTGCACCCACGACCTGACTTGTTGGCACTGGTTACCAGTGTGGCTGGTCATCCCTGCCCTGCGATCACGTGTAGAGGTCACCCTTCTGCCAGCCCGTGGTGCTGTTCCACCCATGTCTCTCATTAGGTCTCTGAAAGTGTCCCTCTCTGGCCTGCAGCTGCCTGGGAACCGCTTGAGCCTTTTACCAAGCCTGTCTGTCCCCTGTGGGGTACGGAGACGTCCCTGTCCCCCCGAGGAATCTGCCCCTTGTCTGTCCGACCCAGGTTCAGGATGGCATGACCTGCCCTGGTGCCCTTCCTTATGGGTGTCTCACTAGCGACTTCCGGTCTCGAAAAACCAGGAGTCCTTAAGTTTCAAATGGACAAATTTTATCTTTATTTTCCTTTGTGGTTTGTGTTTTATGTTTCCTGGGGAAGAAGTTGTTTTGAACCTTAATGTTGCCGATATCGTCTAGGTATTTTCTTTCACTTGTTCATAATGTTCAGTTATAATTAAGAATGTGAGGTCACAGATGTCAGTTTTTAAATAGAAGTTAAAATGTTTTGTTAGATTTGAGTATAAAATCCAATTATAATTATATAATTATATAAGGTAAGAGGTCACAGATGCCCATTTTAAAATAAAAGTGTTTGTTACATTTGAATGTAAAACCTAACTGATGTGTGTGTGTGCTAAATGGGATCTGATTTTTTTTTTTAAATAAAAAATCTCATTTATTTGTTTCTTTGTTTCTTTGGGGATCAACTTGGGTCATCAGGCTTGGCCAAACATGGCTTTACATGCTGAGCTATCTTGAAGCCTCAGGGGACTTAACTTTTTATCTTTTCCTTATGAATAATTCATACTTACTTAATTTTTTATTTTGCCAAAGGGATTCAGGACCTTTTTTTTCCCCTTTGCTTTTATTATGGACGCCTTTCATGATGTTTCATGTTGGGGGAGAATGAACGAATAAAAAATGTCTGTTCAAGGAACCAGTTGGGAATGTAATACGGGAACAGCCTTGGAAACTGAGTTTTCTGTCTGTTCTCTACCGGAAAGCCCACCTTGTGTCCTTTGTTGGCATTCATTGGCGATTCTGTCTTCTCAGGTGTTTGACGAGGAGGAGCTTCTAGAATGCATTCTGCAGCTCATCCAGATCGACCAAGAGTGGGTCCCCTACTCCACCTCTGCCAGTCTCTACATCCGTCCCACGTTTATCGGAACCGAGGTAAACTTGACTCTCTTTGGGGGAAGGCTTTTGTGATTTCAAAAGTCTTTTAAAAGCCATGCATTTATTTTTTGTTTGTACGTGAGTGGGCGTGTGTGAGCCACAGTGCATGTGGAGGTCAGAGAACACCTTGGGAGTTGGTTCTGAAGGAACCCTTGGGAGCACAAGGCTCCCCAAACCAAGTTCTTAGCACAAAGGAGATTTATTTACTTCAGAGGGACAGAGGTCAGGGATGAGAGACAAAGACAGGAGATGGAGAGGGAGGGAGAAGGGAGAAGGGGCAGGGATGTTTGTCCAGGGGGGGGGGGGGGGGTAGAGGGGCACAATGGACTGCCTCTGGATAGGGAGGAGACAGACCTGGCCCATAGGCAAATGGCAGTTTATACAGGTAAAAGGGGAAACCCCGAGTTAGGATGAAGTGTTTAATTTTGATAGGGCATGTTAATTAGGGCAGCCAAGAGGGGGCTTTTGTTTAGTCAGCCTTAGGAAGAGGAAGTGGCCAAGTGAGGTAATAGGCCTGGTGGCTCTCACAGTTTAGCAGGACTGAGGGGAGGGGGGGACAAGCTCTTCCAGGGCCATGATTGCCAGGCTCTGGCTGCCCAGAGTGCCTTCAGGTTCTTTCCTTTTACTGTGTGTGTTCTGGGGATGTCATACGGGCAGTTAGGTTTGGCGACAACTGCCTTCCTCCTCACCGGGCCATCTTGTGTGCCCCCAAATGTCATTGACTGAGCTCAGCTTAGCCTCCAGCCTGCTTCTCTCTTGAGTGAGGCTTTCAGAATGTGGTTTGAATGACACCCCAGCCCACCCCCGCACCCCACGCTCCAGTCCGGACATTCATGGCTCCGTGCATTCTCCCAGCTGTTGAGGCCATCTTTCCTGGAAAGATGAGACAACCGGGATTTTAGGTTTTGGGGGTGACAGTTTGCCACCATCAAACTGGTTACTGTAGGTAGCTCACCCAGGACTAACTGAAGTGAAAGGCATGGTGATATTCGCCTTCTCTTGATCAAGACTGATTGCTAGTCCTGAACTCGCTGCATAGTCGTGGCCAGCTTCTGGTGAGGCCTCCCTTTGTCTGCCAGTTAGGGAGAGAAGACCCTCGTCTAGCTGGAGGAATTTACTCTGTGACCTCACACGGTGTGATGTCCGGCCTTAGAGGCCCTGTGTCCTCAAACAGAAGCCTCTTCATTGTCAGCCTGACTGGATTTGTCACCTAGGAGACACCCATCTGGGCCTGTGCGTCAGTGAGGGTGTACCTTTGGAGGGAGAGCCATCCAGGGTGTCACCAATCCTGGGTCCCGACCTAAATGCAAGAGGAACTGAGCAGAGCACCTGCATCTGTCCCTCTCCCTGGCTGTCACACAAGGTGACCAGATGTCTCACGCTCCCTGCCCGTTCCTTCCTCACCCGGATGACGATACCTCCGAAACGCCAGCCACAGTCCCTTTCTTCATTAAGATGCTTCTGTCGGGTGTCTTGTCACAGAGTGAGAAAAAGTAAAATGTAGGGAGTCAGGGCTTCTGCGTGGACTCTGGGGACAGAACTGAGTTGCTAGTAGGGGTGGGGACGGCAGGAGAGCAGGGAGAAATTGAATGAGCGCGCCATGCTAAGCAGGCAATGCGGAGTGTGAAGGATGTGGGGAGGAGCCAGGCAGCGGTGCGTGCGTTCACAGAGGGCCGTGGGTTCTGTGTTGATTATTGCTGTTATTGCTATGTGTTCATGAGTGTTTGTCTGCATGTGTGTATGTGCACTACATGTATACCTGGTGCCGGAAGAAGGGACCCCTGGGCCCTCAGCCTAGCAGTACCCCTCATTTGCAGTCTCTTTGCCATTTCCTTTCTCATTTGAAATTTTGAGAAAGTTTATTTTGAATTCTCTGTGTGTGCATATGTTGGTGCGTGTGCAGTTGCTGGTGGAGGCCAGGACTTTGAATCCCTGGGAGCTGGAGTCCTTAGTGTTACAAGCGCTGTGCGTTGTTTAACTTCAGTGCTGGAAACTGAACTCTGGTCCTGGGAGAGCAGCAGGTTCCCCTAACCCCTGAACCATCTTTCCAGTCCTAAGTTCTTCTTTCTTTTTTCAAAGGTCTGTGTAGGCCCAGACTCTTCTGTAGCTGAACTGGCCCTGGCCTGTTGATCCTTCTTCCTCAGCCTCCCAAGTGCTTGGATGACAGGCACATGCCACAGTATCTCGCTCCATTTTCTCCTTTAACTTCGAAACCTTTTTTAAAAAGAAGTCTCTTAGCCAGGCATGCCTTTAATCCCAGCACTTGGGAGGCAGTGGCAGGCAGATCTCTGTGAGTTCAAGGCCAGCCTGGTCTACAAGAGCTAGTTCTAGGACAGGCTCCAAACTACAGAGAAACCCTGTCTCGAAGTAAAAATAAAAGAAGTCTCTGGTTGAAAGAGAAGGCAAGCTGGTCTCTTTGACAAGCTTCAGCCCCTTCTGGTCCCAGGCCTTAGTCTTTGCTTTGGTTTGCTTTGCTGGTTAGAACTGCCTGTCCTGCATCCTCCTCCCCCCAACACACGCATGCACACGCTGTGCTGCTGGACCCTCCACACTGTTGGTTAGTACTTTCTGTCCTGCAGTGTCCTCCCCTCAACACACAGGCACGCACGCACGAACGCGCACATGCACGCACATATACACACGCTGTGCTGCTGTACTCTCTGCCTCTGAGGCCGCAGTGTTGGTTGGTACTGTCTGTCCTGCAGTCCCCTGCCCCCCAGGCCGCTGAGCTCTCTGCCTCTGAGGCCACACTGTTTCTAATGGAATTTCTCAGCTCACTGGCTCTTTTCTGCCATCCTTCAAATAACCAGTGACATCCCGCCTTTCCGTGAAGCAATTCTGGGTGACCCAGAAAGAAGTGGTAATTCTCTCTGGGAAGCAGGCTTTGTTGGTCATCACACCTATGTGCTGTTCCTCTATGCAGAGTGCAGAGGGGCTTCCGTATTGTGAAGCTTAGCTTAGGAAGTAAAAGATCTCTCCCCTTCTCTGTCTCTCTCTCTCTCTCTCTCTGTGTGTGTGTACACTTACATATATAAACATATAAAGACTTACATATAAACACATATGTAAACATATGAAGACATTAGTGTTTCAGCCTCAGTGGTCTCTTGAAGCATGCGAAATGCTACAGGCTTCTCCGTTCTTTATTCAGATTATCTGAGGATACAGACCCTACTGTTCCTGAGCAGCCTGGAGTGTAACTCAGTGGTGCCATACTTACCTAGTGTGTATGCTAAACTCCCAGCATCTCTTCAGAAACACCCCCACCCCAAGAAGGAGCTAGGTGTGGTGCTATGCTGTGATCACAGTCCTTGGGAGGCTGAAGCAGGAGGACTGCTCTGGGTTTGAGGCCAGCCTTGGCTGCGTGATGAGACCCTGTTTCCCAAAGTCAAAACCAAAATGTCCCCGAGAGGATCAGACTGTCGCTTGCAGCCCCGTCAGCTGCTGACACCTTATTTCCCGTGTGTTATGTGGCTTTTGTTTTAGTTAATCGGACACGCAACTTTACCATCCCAGGATTCTGTCAACTGTTGTTGATTGGCAGCACAATATAAAACTCTCTGACAAGGAGCATGGGGTCCAAATTGCTTTTCACTGTAGAAGTGACGAGTGAGACCAAGGTGTTAGGGACCCTGAGGGGGAAGTGCCTGTCTGTCACCTAGCTCCTTCACAGAGTCAGAATGGCATTTGAGTCATGCTCAGTATTGAAGTGGAATTGAGACTTTCTCCCCAGCAGAGTCAGTGAGTTCTTGGAAGATATAATCACTCTTTATTTTATGACTGTGAGCATTTTGTCTGTGTGTGTTTATCTGTACTCGTGGGTACTGTGCCCATTTGAGGCCAGAAGAGGGCATTGAATCTCCTAGAACTGGAATAACAGCCAGTTGGGAGCCTCTTTGTGGGCCTGGGAACTGAACTTGGGTCCTCTGCAAGAGCCACATCCTCTCTCCCCCACTGAGTTCTTTCCATGGAAAGGCAAAGAATGTAAATGACAGATGGTTCCTAAGCTGGGATCCACAGAGGAACAGTCTGGTGTCGTGGACCTGGCTTCAGTTTTAGAAGGTACGAGGTTGCATTCTCACACACAGCTTTGGCCAGCATTGAAAAATACAAATGTATAACTCAGCCGTTGCTAAGGATACAGATATGAATGAAATGATTCATCAAGATGCCTTTTCTAGAGGCAGATTTGATGGAGATGCTGAATGAATCTGCCTTTCTCCTTCTGTCTGTGCTCTCTGCCGCCACCTGGTGGAATAAATGCAAACGGACTTGGAAAGTGAAATTGGCTTCTGTGTGTGTGCTGCTCTTAAAATCCAGAGGGCTTCCTGTGCCCTGCTGCAAATCTACCTCCTCGGCATAAACTAGGTAAAATTCAGTACAGAAAAAATTTATCCTGTTAGGTGACTGTTACTTTTTAAATATAATGCAAATTGTGCTGGTGCGTGTAAACTCATTGAGGCAACCCAGACCTCCTGTGGTAGATAACAAAGACCTGTCAGAAATACAGTTCATTCAGAATTTAAAAGCTAGATGTGGCCGTCAGGGAGCAGGTAGCATATTGTATCTTCAATTTACTCAGAGTCCTCATCATTTGTATTGGTTGCTTTTTGCTGTGATAAAATACGGCGAGCAGGGCAACTTACAGAAGGAAGCTTATTTGGGCCCCGTGATTCAGGCCAGAGAGTCCTTAATGGCAGGGGGCACTAGTAGGAAGCCAGAGATCACTTCTTTAACCACGGACATAGGAAGTCAGTGAGGCTGTAAATGATCAGAGTGCCAGGCCCTCAGGAGGCAAGACACTGCTACTCGGTGACAGTTCCTTCCAGTTCTTATCTTCCTCAGAGGACAGAATTAGGAGACAAAGCTCACCTGACAATGCAGAGCATGCATTCCTAAGAGAACCTGGAGCATGCTGGCCCATTAACGGGAGGAGTGTCCCAGTGAGTTCTGGGTTGTGGATTTTGAAATTTTACTGTGCCTTAGTATAGTGGTGTATTGTTTGTGTTTTAATAAATAAATCTTGCCTGGAGATCAGAGGGCAAAGCAGCCATATTAGTCAGCCATACAGACTGGTGGTGGTGCGTGCCTTTAATCCCAGCACTACCGCCTGGGTTTATCTTGCCAGGTGACAGGGGCCAGCATAATGCCTGAATCCTAACAGCTGTCACCCAGCCACCATCTGGTTCTTAATGAGCCCCCTCTCCCCCGACAGACAGACAGTGTGCAGTGGAGCAGGTACAATGGAATGCAAGCAAGTGGCCGCTTGATAGTCCAGCATCAGCTTGTCAGTCAACCCTCCGCCCCGCCCCCGTCACTTTTGCTTCTCATGGCTGCCATCCTCTGTGACGCCGGCAGATCAGGCTGCAGTTAGCGCCCGTTGTAGGCAGTCCTGGTTGGTTGTCTGTTCCTGAGGTCTTGCACTGCATCGCTGACTGAAGACAGACCATTCTCTCTTTAGGACATACTGCCTCTGGGACTTTCAGTCTCTAATAATCCACAGGCTGATTGAACAACCTCCCTTGTGCTGGAGGAGTCTGTAGGTTTCCATTACTTATGGAAGAGGCTGTCTGTTCTCTGTCTTTCATTCATTATTTCTTGTTTAAAGACTATTTTTATTTTATGTGCAAGGTTGCTTTTCTGCATGTTTGTATGCTGTGTGTGTGCAGTACCGGTGAAGGCCAGAAGAGGGCACTAGATCCCATGGCAGTGGCATTTCAAACAGCTGTGAGCCTCCATGTGGGTGATGGGAACTGAATCCGGGTCCCCTACAAGAGCAGCCAGTGCTGTTAGCTGCTGGACCACCTCTCCAGCTCCCGGTTCATGATGAGTCATTCTCTCCTGTTCTTTTTATGTTATTTCTCCTGTCTGTTGTCTCTGTCTAGAAAAGCTACCCCATCTGCCACCTTTTATTGCCTTACAGGCAGGCGTGGTCACAGCCTCCTTCCCCATCTGCTCCTTGCTCACTGCCCTCACATGTTCTGGATGCCCAGCAGTCTGGGAAAAGAGTTGAAGGGGGCTGGAGGCAGGCTCCTCATTCATTCTGTCAGCAGTAGCAGCAACTGCAGCCAACTGATGTGGTTTGTTTTCTTTTTCTGTAAAAATCATAACTCAGGAAAAAACCAAAAATGAAACTTAAAGCTTTTTAGAGTCACATTTATTTATTTTAAGTGTGTGCAGGGTGGGATTGGAGGAATGTGCGTGCCATACCACATATGTGGAGGTCAGTTCTCTTCTTTCTACCTTGTGATGTTCAGGGATCAGATTCCAGTTAGAAGAGTTTTCAGGCTTGGCAGCAAGCACTTTACCCATTGAGTCTTCCCGTGTCTCATCCTGTCCTGTCCTTCTTACCCCCAAACCTAAATACTCACAGTCAGTGTTTTCTTTAAAAGGCTTTGGTTGGGTACCCTTTTGGGAGGGGGACACAGTCTAGCCCAGGCTATACGAAGGACTTCTCACTGTCTGTTACAGAGGTGTCTTTTATCTTTATTGCAGCCGTCTCTTGGAATCAAGAAGCCATCCAAAGCCCAGCTCTTTGTGATCCTGAGCCCTGTGGGATCCTATTTTTCTGGTGGAACATTTAATCCAGTGTCACTGTGGGCCAATCCAAAATATGTCAGAGCCTGGGAAGGTGGAACTGGGGACTGCAAGATGGGCGGGTAAGTCAATCTGGGTGTCCTTTCCTGGCCGTTCAGTGATGGTTGTGTGCCTTGGGCTGTGTGGGCAGTGTTCAGAAGTGAATAAATAGCTCTTTGTGCTTTAAGATTTGGGAAGAGGAATGGCAGAGATACAGTCACAAGCCAGATGCAGAGGAAGCAAGATGAGAATGCCCTACTGAGAAAAGGTACCAAGCCACGTGGCTAAACATAGATAAGAATTCGGGGTTAATTTAAAATGTAAGAGCTAGTTAGTAAGCCTGAGCAATAGGTCAAACAATTTATAATTTTTTTTAAAATTAGCTTTGTCAATGTGCTGGTTGCTGGTGTCACTTGTGGCCCCCCTAAGGAGCAGTGACAGTGACGGCATGGGAGTGGGGCAGTGCTTTGAGCCAGTATCCCTGCGCTCTGCTCCTTCCTCTCCAGCTGCAGGCTGGTTCTGGAATTGATGCTCTCAGTTGGCTCCAGGGAGCTGTCTGGGAAGGTGTCTGCTTCCCCTAAACACTGTCTGCTTTGCCGTGGATGGCAGGCACACCTGCTGTGAAGGGCCGGAGGAAAGCCCTGCTTTGGCAATGCCTGGCCAGTCTCACAGACCATATGCAGTTGGCAAGAAATGAAAGAGCGTTTGAGATGTGCTGGCCTGTTTCAGGGTGTGCTTGGCCCTGAATTCAGAGTGCCCCTTGATGGATAGACTGGAAGGATTAAGTACGCTGGGCTCTTCCCAGGTCTGAATCAGCCGTGACATACACACTACAGCCAGGGCAGACACTCCTGGAAAGAGACTTTCCACGATGTCCTGGGAGGTTTAGGGCAGTCAGAGCCCAGTGGCCAGCCTCTGAGATGTGAAAGGTGCCCCACCCCCAGTGACAACCTTTTCTTTCTCACCATTTCTAGGAGGTGGGCTTCTCTAGAGAAATATGTGTAGCAGGCTTTTTTGGACTGCCAGTCCCCAAACTGTGACATGGAGACTTTTTATTAGTTATGAATGCTAGACCGTGCCTTATGATCATTTCTAGCTAGCTCTTATAATGTAACCTGTTTCTCTTCATGTATGTTTTGCTGTGGGGCTTTTCACCGCTTTTTCCTTCTGTGTGTCCTACCTTTCTGTGTCCTCCCTGTCTGCCTGGCTGGTGGCTGCCTGGCTGGCGGCTGCCTGGCTGGCTGGTCCTGGGTGTCTCCCTCTCTTTTTCCCTTGTTCTTTCAAGGCTAGATTTCTCCTCCCATTTATTCTCACTGCCTACCATCCCTATCCCTCTATTTCCTAACTGTTGACCTTTCAGCTTTTTATGTGTCCTTTTTAGGTGCCTTAGGTAGGCAAGGTGAAACAAATACATCACATCCTTATATAGTTAAACAACTGCAGCATAAATAAATGTAACGCATTTATGCACACTTAAACATATATTCTATTCCACAACAGCTATAGATTCGTTGCTTCAGGTCTATTCCTTCAGTCTTTTGTATTTGTAACATTGTTACATCTAACTTGAACAGTATCTGCCACAGAGGAACAAAAGACAGAATCTAATCTCTATTTAAAAGAGCAAATGGGGGCTGGAGAGACAGCTCAGCAGTTAAGAGCACTTGCTCCTCTAGAGAGCTGGGGTTAAGTTTGCTGCATGTCAGGAGACTCACGACAAGCTGGAACTCCAGCTCCCTGGGATCTGATGCTTTCTCTTGACCTTTGTAGGCAGCTGCACGTGACATGGCAAACACAGACGCATGTGGAGTGTGCATTTGTGTTACCGGGATATCAGTGCTCATGTTGTCTTTCAGCATAAATGCCAGTGAGCAGAGGCAGGGACCGATGACTGAAGTGCACTCTATTCGCAGAGTCTGTCATCTGAGATGAAGGTAGAATAGCATCTTAGTATCTTGTCTCACGTCTCATCTGCATCCTGCAGTCCTGGGGGAGGGTAGAGTTTGGCACAAAGCAGCCCATCGCTGGAGCTCTGCCAGGTGTCAGGCAGTTTTCTGAGACCCCCTGGTGTCTTTGCCTCTCCGGTTGTAAAATTTATTATATGTGTGTGTGAGAGAGTTTTGCTTGCCTGCAAGTCTGTGACCCATGTTCTTGTCTAGTGCCCTTGAAAGACAGAAAGCGGACTTGGATCCCCTGAAACTGTACTTCTAGGTGGTCGTGAGTGGCCATGTGAGTGCTGGGAACTGAACCCAGTCCTTTGCAAGAGAAACAGTTGTTCTTACCACTGGGCCATCTCTTCAGCCTCTTTGTCTCTCATATATGTGTCTAGGTTCCCAGAGTGGAGTACAAATGTCTCCTTATAGGGCAGAATGTTAGTGAGCCCCTCTTTGTCCCTCCTGCCATCTTTATTAGTACAATTGGTCACTTCTTTCCCCTTTCAGGGTCTAATCTATCCATGTTGCTGACTTTAGGTTTTATATCACTGGTATAAATTTTAATGTCAGTCAGCCTTTTTCCAGCTGCTTGGTGGGGAAATGTGTACCTCTCCCAGTCCACGGTCATCCCTGGGCCGTCATCAAGGCACTGTATGAAGACATTAGCCCACCTGCCGAGTGCCTTGACCTAAGTGAGTTGGCACAGCCATAGGTTCTGAGGTTTAGGGTGTGGGTATCACTTGTGGCTTTAAGGTTCCACCTGCATTGAGTTGTGTGGCAAAGCTAAAAGCGTGAGTGTATTATCTGACCATCTCATGTGTTAATGTTATGTGCTGGCATAATCTTTATCTATCAGGGAGTAATAAAGCCAGGACACTTTGGTCTTCCCTTTGAAGCCACTAAACACAGAGGGAAAAAAAAATGTAGGCTATTTAAACATTAAAGAAGCTTGAGGACCTGACTTTCCAAGCCCTCAGAGCCTGAGGCATCCTGAGATAATGGAGATGTATTGGTTAAGAAGTTGCTTCCCATGAGCCTCCCACCCAGGCCTGAGTTTCAAGTTAGTTCTCAAATCCTGTTTCCCCTCCTTCCCCTGTCAGGGCAGCATCTGTTTAATTTGTTTTTGATATTTATCTATCCCATAGTTACTTATCTATTTGTGTCTGTGTGCCAATGTATATGCCTTGGCATGCAAGGTAGGGCAGAAGCCAACTCATGGGAGCTGGCTCTGTTCTTCCCCTGTGTGCTACCTGGGGGATCAGACTCAGGCTTGGTAGCAAGTGCCTTTACCTGCCGATCCATTTGCTGGCCCAGGGCAGGATGTTAAGGAAAATGCTTGAAGAAACTAGGTCAGTTTATTGGGGTTCTTAATGAAGAGAATGGTCTCTGGTTTCCTCAGCTGAGACAATGTCAAGTCTATGTTAACCAGGTTTGGTTTTGGAGATCCCTAATTCTTCAAAATTATAAGTGGATTATAGTAATTACAGATGTTGGGGGAGAAAGACAGACTTGGGTCTGACATGAGCTCTCTGTCTCCGAGAGACAGAGACAGAGAGAGTTGTTGGAAATGAAATCCAGTGCCTGTGCACGCTGACTTGTGCTTTCCCACTGGTCTAGATCCTTAGTCATTCTTTTGTATTTTCTTACTAATGAAAAGTAAAAATGGGGTGGACAGGTGACTCAGTGGTTAAGGGCACTGGCTGCTTACGCAGGAGACCTGGGTTCGATTTCCAGTACTCAGATGGTGGCCCACAACCACCCGTCTCTCCAGTTCCAGAGGATCCAACTCCTTCTCATTCCCACAGCGGCACTGCAGCATTTACCTAAATTGTTCTATTATTAATAAAAACTCGGAATAAAAACCTGGTAGATCAAGAAAAGGGCCCCCGAATCTTTCTAAGCCCCTCTCTACTCTTTCCTGTGCCTCTCTATTGTATCGCATCCTGGGTCCTCCAAAATCTTTGTGATTAATTCCGGTCAGTTGGTCATTGGCTCCGCCCCTGGTTCAAGGTTAATGTTATTAACAGCCTTGGAGTGTAACAGTATGATCAAATATCCCGCAACATTTCCCCCTTTTTATCTAAATAGAAAGGAAATGTTTTCGCTCTAACACAGTAAAACTATATATAGTAAGAATTACATTCATAATGTCCAGTCCATTTGTATTTGGCAATTTAGGAGAAAAATACTCTATTATCTATCCTGTCTTGATGAGTCCAAAGTTTTATACCTACACCACTTTCTATCATAACTGTTTTACCATCCTAAAAATATCTTTTTAGACCTTAAAACATTTTCCCAGATACTTTTTTCCCCTCAACCTTATAATCTTTATATCTCTTTTGTAAGTTTCTTTTCTGAACTTAGTAAGAAAAAAAATTATATAATTATCTAGTCTTCAATTCTGTCAGAGACCAGAGAGGATAGAATATTACCTGAGAAAACAGGAAGTGCAGACCCAACAAATTCCAAAACTATAGAAATGACAGAGACATCTGGCTGCCTAAACAGTCAGCCAAAGTTCGTTTGCAATGTTGGGGCATTCATCTTTGGCCTACAGGTCTAGGATATCTGATAGACTTTTCTGTGAAGTTGGAATTTTTAAGGACTCTCCTACCTTGTTTGGGAAAGTTCAGCCGTCACCTTTTGTGCCTTGCTTGTCAAGTTCAGACAGCTTATTGTCAGCAGTTGAGACAAGGGTAGTTTCTCTCCCAGTGGCTGGATTTGCCACAAATGAAAGCAAACTCCATATGGATGGTCTTTGATTCCCATCATCTTCTCAGAAGTAGATTGATGCTGCCAGGAGCAGACCTGTCTCATTGTCATCTAAAGCCTTATTTTATGCAATGTCTATCGCTGAAGTGTTTGAAGACCATCTATCTTTCTGAACATCTGTTGGACCTTGATAACACACCTAACATCACTACAAGTTGGCCTGTTATAGATGACTATTACCCTGCATTTCTCAATTACCCTAAATAGTTTATAATCATAGCTTTCAAACTATTTGAAACTATTACAGACTAAACTTTACATGTTTAAATGAGCTGTATAGGCTCAGTACATTAAACAAGAGTAGAACATATGTACATACAATATGTCCTACCAGAAATAACCTTAAATTTGTATCAGTATACAAAAATTCATACCAATGTAAAATATTTGAGATTAATAGCTATTTTTTTAGTTTAGAAGTGATTCATTTTATCCTATCATTCAAAGTCAGTGCCCCCTTTCTATCTTTTCAGAAAGAGATCCCAGAATCTAACCTCCTTTGCTAGTGTCCTCCCTGACCATGATCAATAACAACTTTTAACCAACCCCACTAAATGATGATAAACATCCATAACTACTGGATGACCAAAAACCATCTGCCCCACTTCTTGGGAATGTGGACGTCATGCTCTTAACATTACTTCCTCTTGTCTCTGGGCAACAGCATCTTTAGGGGATGCTGAGAAAGTGAAGATGATGATGAAGTTCTGGGAGAGCTAGCTGTTGTCCAGTCTCCATACAGTGGGAACATGCAGCACTTGTAAGTCCTGGCTGGAGCAGTCTGAAGCTACACCATCTTAGCTAACTGCCTTGACGCTGTCCTGAATGGTTTGTAGTCCAAAGCTGATCTTGCTAAGTGGCATTACCACAATCTAGGTGGCTTCATCACTACAGGATGCCATCATCTTCTGGGGGACCTCAGAGCTTACTACCGGGTACAGTCATGTTCACTGCAGAAAACTTACACAGTTTAAATGAAAATATGCAGCAGATCTTGGAGAGGTTAAAGGACCACAGTCTGTTAAATCATAAGGGGTGCTCAAACTCAGTTCCTAGCTACCTGCTTCAGACTCAAGCCCAAAATCGCATACAGGAAGCTAGATGAAGCTTATTTCTAGGATTAGTTAGTATTCTATATGACCATTAATATCATGACAAAATATAATTTATCTATCCATCTATCTGTCTGTCTATCTATCTCTCTATATATCTATATCTATCTATCTATATATATATAGGTATATCTATATATATCTTATACATTTTGTAAACTATCTTTTATCCTAGGTAATTAATAGAATCTCCTCTTGTATTTTTTTTTTCCAGGAACATTTTATAATTCCCAACAAGGCAAAATTCTCTTCAAAAATTTTATCTATGTTTTCTACTTTCGAATCAGCTAATAAGATGTCATCCATGTAATGGTAAATTATAGATTGAGGAAACTTTATGAATTATTTCCAATGACTGTTGTACAAAATATTCTGGGTGGGTCTCTTTAGCATTCTTTGCGGCAAGACACTCTACTGGTATCTTCTAGCATGTTTGACATTATTATAAGTGGGCACCATAGAGTCAAATTTTTTTCCATCCTGTTCTTGTAAAGGTATAATAAAAAAACAGTCTTTTAAATCCACTCAGACAGGTTTGTCAGTTAAACATTTTAAAGACAGGGCTATTGGTACCTTTAAAAGATCAACAGTTGTTGTGCCCTGCTTATGGTACAACTTGAATGGTTGGTGACTGTTCTTAATACCTTTTGATATTTTTCTCAGAAGCGTTCTTTATTTTACAGTTTGCTTCTGAGATTGGAGGAATGTTAATCTTTGTTTTCCGTTGCTGCATCAAATCATGTCCCCATAAATTCATTGTTATGTTAGTAGAATCTGTCCTTCTGGCCCTAAACACTCAACTCACCTTGTACTTTGTATTACCTGAGATAAAGTTACAATTCCTAGAAACTCAAATATTTACCCCCTGAAGAGGCCAATCTGGATGCGGAGATTTTTTTTTTTTTAAATCTGTCCCTGTGATAACCAGACCTTCAATTATTGTGCATTTATTTGTATTTTTTGCTTTGATCATTGATCATTTATAGAAGTTGACCAAATTCCTTGCTTTACAGTCTCTCCTGAGAGTTTTGTCTTACCTGCTGAGTCTGTTCTGTCGTCCACAGTATGGTTGGGAACAACAGGCATTACGTCCTTTGATTGCTCTGTGGAGGAGTTACTTCAGTGCTGACAGGGAGTGACTGCACCAGATTTGATACTGGGGCCTGTGAGAGTCCCCCTAACACAGTTTGCAGTGGTGGAGGATTACGTCTACATCCTAGTCCGGTGCTGGCTGTCGCTGTAATTTCTGTCTACTTCAGAAGGCTGGGTTCTACTGCTTGGGTTATCTCTAGAAAAAACATTCTTTCCAGGAATGCCTTGCCTACAATCCCTTTTCAGGTGACCATGTTTATCACAATTAAAACATCTTACCTTTTGACTTTTCCAAAAATTTTTAGAAATCACTTCTGTCAAAGTAGATATCATAAGTGAGATCCAATATCAGCTGTATTTCTGATCCATTCATCTTCAGTCCAATATCAGCTGTATTTCCGATCCATTCATCTTCAGTCCAATATTAGCTGTATTTCTGATCCATTCATCTTTGGATGCTGATCTTGCCTTTAAAGACCTAGTCACTCTTTTGCATTATGAATTAGCATTTTCAAAAGCCAAAGGTTCAATTAATATTTGTCTAACTTCTGGATTTGATATTATTCTATTTACAGATGAGGTCAATCTTTGCAAAAAATCAGTGAAGGCTTCTTTGGGGTCTTGTATAATTTTAATAAATGGTTCAGTCCTCTCTCCTGATTCTTCAACCCTGTCTCAAACATCTAGCATTGCTAGATGATGTAGGGCCAAGGTGTGGCCATCAAATCCAAACTTTGCAAATCAGCATACTGGCTATCACCGAGAAGCTGGTTCACTGAGAAGCTGGTCTTTGGAAATATCAATACCTCTAGCCCTATTTTGTTGTTCTATGGCTCCAGCCTCATCTTTCCAGAAGGTACCTAGTGTCCTATCTTATTTTCTTAGCACCTGGGGCAGGCTCTTTGGGGGCATGCATGTGATTCTCCTGATTCCGCTCAGTTGTGATGGTCCTGCATGGGCCCGTGAACATAGATTTCTTTGGTGTTAAGAGTCTCTAGTGCGCTTTCTTTAATGTTCTGAAGATAGAGTAATGTATTAAAGTGATTTCTCGTGTGTGCAGGCTTGTGTTTGCATGTGTTTCTGTCTGTCTCTCTGTGTGTGTGTCTTTGTGATTAAGACTCATTTTGTTAGCAGGCCTACTGACATGCCATCATCAGATCTCACGGAGGGTGGGGGGTGGTAATAGTGAACCGACTCCCATGATCTGTCCTCTGACCTCCATATATGCACTCTGGAGGCATGTTGTGCGCTCTCTCTCTCTCTCTCTCTCTCTCTCTCTCTCTCTCTCTCTCTCAAATGAATGGGAACTTGAGACCGTAAGAGTGGGGTGACACTCGTTTGTAACCAGCAGGTTTTCTTCTCCCCACTAGCAATTACGGGGCATCGCTTTTGGCGCAGTGTGAGGCAGCGGAGAACGGCTGTCAGCAGGTCCTCTGGCTGTATGGCAAGGACGACCAGATAACTGAAGTGGGCACCATGAATCTGTTCCTCTACTGGATAAATGAAGATGGAGGTAATTGCTCTTCTGGTGATATGACTGACCGCTGATGACGTCAAGGGTCCAGAGCCTGCTATGGAGCTTGCATCGGACTTGGTTTTATGTTCTTGTTTCTGTTGTTTGGGTTGAGCCTGTGGCTTAAACCTCAGCTGATGGAGAGATGGCTCGGCACACTAGGGCAGTGGCTGCTGTGGCGGGGACCTCTGCTCTGTTCTGAGCAACCACGTGGTGGTCACAACTGTTAGTTACTCAGTGTCACGGAATCCAATGCACTCGTCTTGCCTCCATTGGCACTGCACACATGCAATGCACAGACATACAGACAAAATACATACAGTATCAAAACACTGTTATTAGTGCTGAGTCTTGGTTAGTTCAGGGGTTGTTCAATCTGTACTAAGTAGTGTGTGCTAGTAAACCATCTATTGTCTATAAGGAGGAGAATTAATACAATCCTCCTTTTATTTTTCAGAACTGGGAATTGAAGTCCTACATGATAGGCAAGCTCATTTTAAAACTACACTTGTGGCCCCCATTTTACTGTTTGTTTTGGGGCTCTCTGTGGTTGTCTGGAATGGCTTGAACTCACTGCGCACCTCACAGTGGCCTTGAGTTTGCTATCTTACCTGAGCTTCCAGCGTGGTGAGGATATGGACATGCTTTGCTAGGCTTGGCTGGGATGCCCCTTTGAGTTTTGTTTGACTTTGTGATGCTGAAGGCATAAGCCAGGACCCTTCTGCCCATTGTCAGGGCTCCACTTCTACCCTATACCCCTCTCTCACTTGAGTTCTCTTCAGAATTGGTGTCCTTTCTTCACATTTTGATAACATCTCAGAAGCCCTATAGGTTTTCTTTGTGTTTCCATTTGATTAACCTACACTCGTAGGGCTACAAGGAGGCTCAGTGGTTGGGAATGCTTGCCATTAAGCCTGAGTTCAACACTTGATACTCATAAGGTGGAAAGAGAGAACCAATCCTCCAAAGTTGTCCTGGTATCTCCACCTGGATGCCCTGGCATATGTGTATCGCACATTCCCATGCAAAATACACTGCACTTTTAGATATAACCCAGTGTATATCCTGACCTTGCCATACATGTTCATTGACTCCTGCTGGCCACTGTATGTAAATCACAGAGATTCTGTTCTTTTATTTTTTTAAGATAAGATCCTGAATTTACAGTACAGGATAACCTTGAACTCACTCTACAGTCCTGGCTGATCCTTCATTCTCTACTTCCTGTGTGTGTAGAATTATAGCATATCTGGCTTGAGGTTTTATGGGGTTTTTTTGTTTTGTTTTGTTTTTGAGGTAGGGTTCCATTCTGTAGTCTGTGCCAACCCCAAACTTACAGGATTCCTCCTGTCTCAGGCTGTAGAATACTGTAATTATAAGCATGACCCCATATATGTGGCTTGAAATTCAGAGCTGTCTCTAGCATCCTGAATGCTCAGTGTCTGCTTTGATACAGGTTCAGTGAAATGTTGACACTTTATGTGGCATAGAAGGAAACTTCTGTCTTACCCTGTCCCAGACAGAGCCCTTCAGTCCCAAATAAACACATGGAGGCTTATATTAATTATAAGCTTAAATTAACTTAAATTAACTCATGATTCTTATCTATCATGTTTAGCCACATGGCCTGGTATCTTTTCTTAATAAGGCATTCTCATCTTGCTTCCTCTATGTCTGGTTGACAACTGCATCTCTGCCTTTCCTCTTCCCAGAATTCTCCTCTTCTGGTTGCCCCACCCATACTTCCAATAAACCAATCAGTGTTTTATTAAACCAATATGAGTGACAAATCTTTATAGTGTACAAGAGCATCATCCCACAGCAATATGACCTCAATGACTAAATGACCCAGGGCAAGGAACAAATTAGACCTGCATTGACCATTAGGATTTTGATTGGTATGTGAAATTTAGGAGCACATTTTTAGACCTGTTTATATTTCTCGATTGCTTATTTCACAGAAAGTAATTATGGACATTGAAATATGAAATGAAGTCAGGGTGTGGCTGGCTTTTTATGTCTCTACCACCAGTACTAGGAGGTTGAGATAGGCAGATCCTGGGAACTCACTGACCAATGAGAGACCCTGATTCAAAAATAAGATGGAGAGCAATAGAAGTGTTCTCCTCTGGTTTTCGCATGTATGCACATATGCACATGCATACACATACATACACACGTGCATACATGTACACATGAACCCCACCCTTATGTACACACCCACATACACATGAATATGAACATACATCACACCCACAAGCATATGCACACACCACATGCATACACACATACCCAGAAACACATGCACACACATACACACTTACCCCACACATGTACACACCCAACATACAATTGCATATGTATGCACACACATGTACACACCCACATAAGCATGCACATGCATGCATGTACACACAGATGCATATGAACACTTGCACATACATGGACACACTGACCCACAAACACATGTATATGCACACACATGCACACATACATGTACACACACACAGGATTAAATGATACTTCTAGGTACAAGCCAGTCTTAGGACCGTGTTGCTTTGTGGGAGCCCCCCTCATCCCTGCTTTATTGCTATAACGGGAAGGAGGTGATTCCGATGAGGCAGAGCGCAGCACGGTGTATCTCAGGATGTGTTTCCTCTGGCCCTGGGCATGTGATCCAGCCGGATGCACCAGGTATGCTTCTACTCCTACTGCTTGTACATAAACAAAATTTACATTGGAATTTTGGGGCTTTCAAGCTGGGACTTCTCATAAATATACCTCTGAAGAGATGAAGCCAGAGGGGTGGCTGGCACCAACCTCTGCACTCAGGAGACGTCTTCTTCCCTGCCCACTCCTGTGCCCGTTCCTACCCACCCAACACCACAAACCGCCACAAGCACAAACAGGAACATCACTCAGAAAAGGCAATGTCATCATTTATGGGAGATGCCAAGGACTTCAGCGTCACCTGTGTTATAGCTGTAGAAGTTAGCCAGATGCCGTTCTGGTGACCAAGTGTTCCTTAGCGTTCACAGAGCATTATTGCATGGCTGTGAGGAAGACTGGAGTAGAATGAGTGGCTTTGTCTTCTAACTTTTGTAAAATATCTGAGTCCTCAGTAAGAGTCAGATTTTACAATTTGCTGAAGCAGATTCTTGTCTCGGTGTGCTCCTGCAGCTGGTGTGTTCACCACCAAGTAAAACAGGGTGGGAGTGAGTGGGCCTGGGATGAGCGCTCTGCTTCCAGAGGACCCAAATTCAGTTCCCAGCGCCTACGTCTGGCAGCCCACAGCTGCCCGTGATTCCAGTTCCCCGAGATGCTCAGGCACTCACACGTGTACAGTAGCAAAAAACAGAGGCCTCTCCCTTGAGCGTCTTTAGTCCACTATCTCAGCCGTGATCCGACACTATTTAACACAATCCCCGCGTGTCTCTCCTGGGAGGGTGATGAGGGAGAGGAAACGGTGGCTCACAGAACTCAGGGCAGTAACCAGCCCCCAGCATTCGCTGAATAACAGGCTGTATCTGTAGGGTTCTGTTTCCCCGGCGCTGGCTCCTGCGAGTGTTTGGGTGGCAGGGTGAAATGACTGTTCTCACCCAAATGTCGTCATGTCATCGGCTCTGTCTGGGGACCAGTGGAACAGATGTTCTGTTCCGTGACCTCAGGCTGGTGGTTACAGTTGGATGCTAAATCCGTTTCACACAACAGTCTTTGCACACGTGGAGGCTGCTGTTTGTGTTTAACTCGGTGTTGTCTTAGAGTTGAACTAACTGTAGGAAGGTTCTGTGTGTGTGTGTGAAAACTGCACACACACACACACACACACAGATGCACACACTTCTGTGTCTAGCTAACGAGCTATCGCAAAACACGTTTATTTTGAGATCATTAACACTTCTAAAATGACAAGTAGCCTCAGGAACGTTGCCAGCGCCAATTTCTTCTTTCTAAAAAGAAATTTTCAGAAAATAATCTCTTCAAATCAAACTGCGGCAGCCTAGCAAAGACGATTCATTCATTCATTTTGTAAAATTAAAAAATGCTTATTATAGGGGCTTGGGGCATGCCCCAGTGGTTCAGAATACTGCCCTTCCAAAGTTCCCAGGACTCAAGTGGTCAGCAACTTACACCATGTAATTCCAATTGTAGGGGATCTGGTGCCTTCTTCTGGCCTCTTTGGGTACTGAATGCATGTGGTGCACATACATACTGGTCGGTGAAACACCCATACCTATAAAAACAAAACAAAAACCCTTATAGTCGACCCTAGGTCAGACATGATACAGTGCCTGGGGCACACGAAATTGGGCAGATCTCTATTCCAGTAACCATTATGAAGCTGAAGAGCCCAGATCCCCCACCCTGAGACAGAGCAGCGGTCCCAGAGCCAGGACACTGGTGTGTGGCCGTAGCTTTCTCTCACTGTCATTAGCCTGGGAAAACCCGCTTGTTTCTCCTGTAGAATAAGGATTGAACTGGGTTAGTTTTAAATTTCTTAGCTGTATTCAAGGGGCTGGGGGAGCCCCCAGACAACAGGGTAAGTTCCTCATGGCTTCTATCTGGTGTTCCATTAAGCATGTTTGTGAATCCCTCTGCAAGCAGGTGATAGGTCAAAGTCATCTACTGTGTAGTTCAGTATCTTCATCAGGTGATGATCTTAGATTCATTGGTCCACAGTGCTAGAAGCCAGAGATGGGAAGCAAAGGGAGATAGATGTTGGACCCCAAAGATGACTTTTTCAGACAAGTTTCATGTAGCCCAGTCTAGTCACAAATCCCATCTAAGGATAACCTCGAATTCTCCATTCTGCCTCTTCCTCCCAGTTCTATATCACAAACACCCAGTTCACGTGGTGCGAGCATCAAATCCAGGCCTTCACACGTATTATGCAAGCGCTCAACCTTGTGATCCACCAAAGGGACTTTTAAGAGGACCACACAGTGCTTGCGGTTGGATCTCTGCGCCTGGCTTTCCCAGTGGAGGGCTCACTTGGTCTTTGTGTAGCAGAGTTCATCTCCTGAGATGGTGCTTGGCTTTTCCCTTTTCATCTTTTGCAGTCCAGGTGACTGAGCTCACACTCAGTCTGTTGCGTTCAGATCTCTGAGGGAAAATCTGAACCTCCATCATTTCTGCTGACTTGTGTGTCTTACGAGGCAGGTGATGTGGGTTTATAGAAGGTGTGCAGGCAGCAGCAGGTGGGATTAACCTCTTGTGTGTGTGTGCATGCGCGTGTGTGCGTGTGTGGGACTGGGTGCACTGTTTGCGGAAGCCAGAGGATTGAAGTAGGATGTTTTCCACCTTATGTTTTGAGATGCAAGGTGAACCTAGGCTACTGATTTGGCTGGACTATCCAGTCAGCCCATCCTTGCCTCCGCAGCACCGATATGAGCCACCCCATTCAGCATTTACATGGGTGCTGGGATCTGAACTCAGGCCCTGACTCGGGCTCCCCTGCTCAGACTACCTGGTTCTGAGGCATAGGGTTGCTGGCTATGGCACTGGCATGGGTCCTGAGCACGATTTTATGTTTGTTGCTCTGAGCGCCTGCCAGCTTTTATTCACTAAGTAATCCTTCTGATATAGACGTTCATTATGAAGAGCGTTCCTTAATTCTCACTTCCGAGAATAGATTTTATTTATTCTTATTTGTGTGTATGTGTGCATGCGCGTGTGTGCGTTCCTTAGAAATTGCATGTGCTTTACATGTGTGCCGGAGCCCTTGGCAGCCAGAAGAGGGTGTTGGGATCCTCAGAACTAGAGTTCCAGAGAGTTAGGTGCCCTAGTTGGGTCCTCTGCAAGAGCAGCCAGTGCTCCTAAGGGCTGAGCAGTCACCAGCCTCTGTCTCTTACCCTAGAAGCATTTCATTGTTCCACAGCTGAAGGATGCATGGAAGATGATTAGATAAGGAACTACCTTTCTAGGTCAAGAAAAATCTTTCTTTTACAGAAGTTGTACTGCACTATTTTATGTCGTGTAAAACAAATAGCATGTACACTGTGCGCATGTGTGGTGGTCAGGGGACAACCTGTGGGATCAGTTCTCTCTTTACCACGGGGTTTCTAGAGGGCTGAACCCAGGGCGCCAGACTCGGGACCCAATACCTTTATCCACTGAGCCGTCTTGCTGGTCCCTTTTTGGTGTTGCTCATTTGTGAAAATTTGTGTTATTCTTAATATGGGTATGGTGTGTGCATCTGCGTGAAGATGTGTGCACACAAGTGCAGTGCTCATGGGTTCTGGAAGAGAGGACGAGATCCCTTAGAACTGAGCTACAGGCAGTTGTGAGCCTCTTAGGTGGGTACTGGGAGCAGAACTCTCATCCTTGCAAGAGCAATACCTGTTCTTATATAGACTGAGCTGTCACTCTCGTTCTTATATTAAAATACGTATCTAGCTGAAAACTGAGTAGAGACTTGAGAGACCTAACGATACAGGACAGTGGAATTAACTATCTGCATGTTTATTATTTAATCATGAGAAATGTTTCTAACAATGACTATCGCGGCGACATGGCTAATGAGTGGAATTTTGCAAGCATTCCTGTTTTTAATTAACAGAAGAAGAGCTGGCGACGCCTCCGCTAGATGGCATCATTCTCCCAGGTGTGACGAGGCAGAGTATCATCGAGCTGGCACGGCAGTGGGTGAGTGCCCTTGATCCTAACAACTTCCGTAAGTCCAGCACAGAGACTCATCAAATTGCAATGATATCATATCCTGTGGTTCCCACCAACATTATCTGATCTTTAAATCTTACCTCGAGCCAAAGATCTCTCTAGAAGGTCTTTGTTGGCAAAACCAGCCAGTAAGTATTCTCTAGCAGGGCACACAGAGAGCCAGCTGAACAGGCTGCTTTGGTGAGCAGGGCTTCTAACTAGGCTCAGTGTGTACAGGGCGTCTGCTGTTACTAACTTACCTGCTCCACATCGGGTGTTTCCACCCAGCCCTTAGCTTGAAGTGTGAGGTGTTTCTTATTGTACAGTAAGCATATTCTATATTGATTCCAGTGTGTCCCTAACCATTATAGGAGCTACAGGTTTTCACTGACGTATTTATATCAGCAAAATGTTGATTTGTCTGTCTTTATCCGTACACCATCCCCCCATTATCTTACCTGTGCTTATTTTAAAATTAAAAACACTTAAAGCAAATATAAAGTTGTTTTCAACAGACTTTCCAATCCGTGCAAAAGAGGCAGGAGTATTAAGGCGTGCGTTATTTGAAGTGACGTAGCTTTTGTGAGGTACATGTGGAGTGGGCTGGCAGGCTGGCATGGGTCTTGGCTGGTACTTGTGACCCATGGTCCCCAGAGACCGTGGAAAGGCTTTGAGCACATTGTGGCCAGACAGTCCTAGCAGACAAATGTTTAGACACGCACATTATCTCAGAGCGGACCAGCAGTTTTTCTGGAAAAGGCTGAAAGTAGAGGAAATGAGCTAAACAATCCTACCCCGTCCAGAGTAGACAAAACCAACTGCCGCCTATTGGCTGCCACGTCGGGCATGACATTCACAAGCCGTTGGTTTAATTTCCAACAGCTTGCCCTGCCCCAAATATGTCTACACTTGGAGAGATGGCTTTTCAAAGCTCAGTAATTATTTTTATTAGGAGAACAAATCGACCAAGTACGGAAGTATGTCATCACACCCGATGACAGGGTATGAGCCAAGTGTGTCCCACACCTCCCGTTCCTGAACTTGGAAAACAGGTTATTATGGAGGGGTCTTTCTTGACTTTTTAGCTGCAGTTTATTTTAAAGCTTGCTTGAAACAGACAAAATGCTAAGAGGCCCTCGGGGTCACCGCGACTTGCCAGGGAGCTAGTCCAGAGATAAGGACGAGCCCAGTGAACATGGTTCTGTTGACTTGCAAGATGGGTTATTTCTGTTTTTTGGGTTTTTTTTTTGTTTTTTTTTTTTTGTTTTTTTCTGTTTTGTTTTCTCTCCAGAACACAGACCTTAACTGTTGTCAGTAACGTTTGCTGATTTCTGGAACATAAATTGTTTTGCAATTTAATTTTGTACAAAATCACAACACTGCTAGGTTTAATTTCTCATAAAATCAAAATATTGGCTCCTAACAAACAATGACTATTTCAGTTATATCAGCTTAGTTATGTTCTTACCAGTTTCAAAAGCAATGAGATCAGGCTTGGTTCAAATCTAGTCTTCTGTTTACTAGCTGTTTGGTCTTAAGGAAGCCCTTCAACCTTCTGAAAGCCAAGTGTCCTCCCTCTGAAGTAGAGGAGGTGACGATGCCTTAGGAGCCTGGCACGTGGCAGGTACATGGGAAATGGCAGCTCCCCAGTACTGATGTATGATGCCACCAATTGTTCTCCTTTGTTATCAAAGACGTGAAGAATGTAGTAAGGGAAGACCTAATTCATGACAACACGTAGGTCTTGAAACAGGCGCGTGTGAAAACACGCTATGAATGCACGGGGAACATCTTGATGACTTCATTTGTGAAAGCCGTCATTTGGAAGTTCAGCCAGACCCAAAGGTAAGCCCTGACTTTTCTTTTTCTCTTCTTTTTTATCTTTGCTGTTCCACACAGGGTGAGTTTAAGGTGTGCGAGAGGTACCTCACCATGAATGATCTGACCACCGCCCTGGCGGGGAACAGAGTGAAGGAGATGTTCGGTTCAGGGACGGCCGGCATTGTCTGTCCAATCTCAGGAGTTCTGTACAAAGGCCAGGTAAGGCGAAAGGTTTTATATGTTAGTCATTTCTAAAGTCAGTTTTTGCCCCGGGGTTGGCGAGATGGCACAGTGGTGGGGACACCTGTCATCCGGGCTGAAAACCTGAGTTTCGGTCCCTAGGACCCACATAACGGAAGGAAAGAAACCAACTCGTGAAGCTTAGCTTACCTCTGACCTCCTCATGTGCTCTCCATCAGTAAGTAAATAAATGAATGGAGTTATGAAATACATAAACATTTACCTTTCATATAATGAAGTCATAAAATGTGTGAGGGAAATTTGAGCAGGTTGGACCTGTGTTGGCACAGATTTTCCATCTTCCCAGAGGTCTAGTGAGGGCTCAGACATGAATAGCGAGTCAGCCATGTCCTTGGCAAGTGTGGAGCTGTGTGTGGGGGGGGTAACAGCAGGTAACCTGTCTACCTGCTGAGGTAGGCTGCACAGCAGGAAGCTCAGTGTTCCGGCTTCCGAGGAAACGTCGCCATAGGAGCGGAGCGGCAATAGGCACAGGATGCCCATGGGAACTGCCTGCTTGTTCCTCTGCTGCAATCACTGTTGTCGGACTCAGACCTCTGGAGCAATTCGAGGATTACCTCTTTCCTACACTTGTCCCTTTTGTAAAGAACAGATTTATTTTATTTCGCGTCTACGGCTATTTTGTGTGCATGTCTGTCTGGGCACTATGTGTATGCAATGCCACGGAGGCCAGAAGAGGGTGCTGGAGCCCCTGAAAATGCCGCCACAGGTGGTTGTAAGTCACTCTGTGGGTGCTGGGAATCTAATCGGGGTCCTCTGGAAGAGCAGCCCATGCTTAGCCATGGAGCCCTCTCTCCAGCCCCCACTTACCCATTTTACTTGTATCATGTATGCGTTATCTTGCCAGTTGGAGGGCTTTCTCCCTTATAGCAAAACCCAGTCCTCGCGCACATCCTTCAGCCTGTCGTTTTTAGACAGGATTTCTCTGTGTAACAGCTCTGGCTGCCCTAGAACTCACTTTGTAGACCAGGCTGGACTTGAACTCACAGAGATCTGTCTTCCTGTGCCTCTCAAGTGCTAGGATTAAAGGCATGCGCCACCACTGCCCGGTTCAGCCTCTATCTTTAGATTGGAAAGATAGGAATTATTTTTTATGTTACTCTATATTTGTATGGGCAGTCTGTAACTGTATAGACATTAATCTATAGATGTATAGGTAGTTTGTAACCATGTAGGCATTATTCTGTAGGTATACAGGCAGTCTGTAACTGTAGGCATTATTCTGTAGTTGTGTGCTTGTTATGCTTCAGATGACTCGTTAAATGTAAATTCCCCTGACTTTTGAATTCAACATTCAACCTCAGCTGATTGGGTTTACGATGATGATGATGATGTTTTGCTTGACATTTCAGCATTTGCTTTCCCGGGGTGGTTGCTGATACAGTTTCACATACAGATTATTTCACTGTGGAAGAACTACCTGGTTTTCTATCCATGTGGCAGAGAACTGGGGAGGGAGGCATGCATGCCAGGGAGGGATCGAGGAAAACAAAGAGGGAAAGAAGGAGCTAGTTTGAGTATTTTTTGGCAGTGTCTATGTGTGATATTGGTCCATTTTAGTAACTAAAATCCAATTGTTACTCCACTCTAGAAATAAAAGTTTACAAAGGTTAACTTATTTTTAATGCTTCTCCTAAATGCTTCTAGGAGGCATTCAGAGCCCAGAGGGCTTGTAATTATCCTATTATACTAAAAGGCATAATAAGAAGAGTGTTTGAGAATATGCGCTATCTACTAAAATCAAAAGCATCAAAAGCCAGCCTGCCAGCAAGGCATGAACGGGCAGGACTCAGATACACACTACGGGCACGAAATCTCTTTCAGCTATGAATTTCGCCTACCTTCCCATGGGAGTTACAGCCCTTGGAGGTACACCTTGCACTCGATGCAGGTTCAGAAACCCTTTTGTGAATGGGAATGAGACTTGCTTTAATTTATCTCTTTGATATGACTTGCTTTGGTTTGTTGCAAAATATCTTTGAGTTCTGGTTTCTTGGCAGAGGGTTCAACAGAGGGCAATTATTCATCCTATGAATTCTTAGAATCCTGGGGTGAGTTCCTCTACTGTTTCGGGGACCTCTTCTAGTCTCCTGAATCCCTTAGACTGTCTGAAGAATGGTACTCAAACCTTCTGTGTGCTTGACTTAGTTGGTAGGAAACAAACACACTGTCACTGGCTGACTTTTTTTTTTTTTCAAATTCTGAGCAGAGAAAACTCGGGTGTAGGAGGTAGCGTGTGTGATAGGTATGTTGGGTGCCTCTCTGGGCCTAGTGGAGTTGCCTTCACGTCACAGGAACGCCACGTGTGCTTCCTGTCACCACCATGTGTGCTTCCCACCCTCAGAGCGCTCTCTCCCTTCTTCTGCAGATGCTGCACATCCCAACAATGGAGAATGGGCCCAAGCTTGCAAGCCGCATCTTGGAAAAGTTGACCGATATCCAGGTAGATGTTTTTACCAACTGGGTTGGGGATCAGCTAGGAGATGGCTCAGAGGTTAAGAATATTACTGCTCTTAAAGAGGACCTGAGTTCATTTTCCAGAACCCACAAGTGGGCTCACAGTCCTAGTTCCAAGAAATCTGATGCCCTCTTCTGCATGCCTGAGGCACACCGTGCATATGGTGCATGTATGTACACGTAGCAAAAACATTCAGATACATAAAATAAAAGTAAAGAAAATATCGCAAGCAAACCCACCTTGGGGCTCATAATCATAAGAAGCTTAGTGAGGTGGCACACCCCTTTAATACCAGTACTTGGGAGGTATGGGCAAGGGGATCTCTGACTTCAAGGCCAGCCTGCTCCACATAGGGAGTTCAGGTCCACCAGGAATATATGGTGAGGTCTGTCTTTAAAAAAAGAAAAAGTTGAAATAGAAAAGATTCATATAGGGGGTGGGTGATTAAAATGCTCACTGTCCGTTGTACTCAGGTCCCCAGAATCCTATATAAATGCTGAATGGACATAGCAACCCAGCTGGTAATTCCAGTTTCTGAAAGAGAGCCAGGGGCTCTCCAGAATAAGTGGTTAGTGAGACCACCATATCTGTGAGCTCTGGGTTTGACTGAGAGACCCTACCTCTAAGAATAAGGTAGAAGAATGTCGACCTTGGGATTTTCCATGCATGTGCATGCATGTACATCCACATATACATGTATCTATATATATAGAAATGCATAACACACACACTGGAAAAAGAAACAAATAATAAAGGACATACGTGGTAGAACATTTGAGAAAACCAGACCTTTTCTCTCTTGACTTCATGTGCTTTAGTGACGGTGGCCCTGACTCTAACATGGACTGGGGATGTAGCTTGACTGGCGATGGGCTTTCTAACAAGCATGACAGCCTGGATTGTGATGCCTACAACCAGAGGGTTTCGTTTGCGTGCCTACAGTTCAACACTTGGGGGTTGGAGGCGGGTGGATTAGAAGTTCGTGGCCATGAGATACGTTGCAAGTTTGAGGCCAGCCTAGACTACGAGACAGCCTGCCTTTAAGAACAACCAAAAAGCCCAACAATTCACTCGGAACTCATACAGAACAGAGAGACCAAGGTCGTAAGCACAGGCACAGGGATCAGGAAGTGCCGCTCACCAAGCCTGAGCACCATACGCTTCCCAGCGTGTGTAAGCACCAGGGCCAACTACCCGCAATCCAAACCACATCTTTTTCCCCTCAATTATTTTGTGCTTGTGTCCTCAAGTCTTCAAATTATTCCCTTACAAGAGGGCAAATTGGTACTGATAGCCAAGGGACTCGCTAGTCTGTTTCCAAGAAAAATAATTTTGGTAATTACTGAGGGAGCAAGAAAAATATGGTGTTACATCATGTTTGAGATTCGATCTCTTTGGGTGTTACATGGAAACATGATGTTTCCCTACAAAGTGTCCCACAGATTTTGAAGACAAGGGTAATAACCAGCAAAGCAAGGGAAAGAGAAACCGAGGCTCTTGCCAGTATGACCCAGGGGGAAATCTCTGAAACCTCGGATCTGACTTAACGTTTAGACTTTGAGTGCTAGGCTAAGTACTTGTCCGATGGGGCCAATAATCCATACTGTCTTGGGTGCTAGGTTACTATAAATTCCTGCTGCAGGGGAGAGTTCAATATAGGGTTATTCTGTTTTCTTCCCCCCTTTCTCTCTATTTATAACCAACAAGGAGAAGCACTCCCGGTTTTTTTTACAGAAGCCGAGGTAAGCGTGGGCAACGCTGCTGCCGCTCCTCTGTCTCCGCCCACCAAGCCACAGCAGCGCCCAGTCTTTAGGTCAGCTCTCTTCTCCAGATGCTCTTTGTCCCTGTGATGCTGCCTGCCTCTGCCGAACCTCCTACAGTTTGGTTTACAGGGTCCTGTCTGTTCTTTAGCATCCATTCCTGTGGGAACTTTATCGTTGGGTTTGCTTTAGCCCTGAACTGCTGTGGGAACCTTTTAAATACCTCCTGAGCCACCTAAGACCCTGACGTTCCTTTATAATCAGTCACACATTTGTCCCCTTCTCGAGCTGTTTTAATGATGGAGGTTTTCCTTCTCTCTATGTCCCCTGGGGTTTAGCTCGGGGTCTAGGGTAGAGAATACAGACAGTAATATCTCTTCTCTGAAAGGAATGAGAAGCCAAGATAAATTTCTTTAAATTTATCTTGTGTTGCTCCTAAGTATTTACCTATTCTAAGAAGAGATAGGAAAAGTGTCTTAAACAATGTGGCATTGGTGGGCTTCGTAGTCAAACACTCGAGGCTAGGAATTTTACAAGGAAAGGCTTGTCTAGCTCACAGTGTTAGAGAATCGGTGTTGGTCTGGTCTCTGAGATTGGCAGGTGGCAGCTTCGCATGCAGCTTAGGTGGACCCACTGTGCCAGGTGGCCGAGCCACACACCTTTAAGTTCTGCTGTCATTCAGTAGCAGCACTCTGGAGAAAGGCCTTCGAACCAGAGCCGCTGAAGGAGACCCAACTGACTTCACATCACTGAAAATGTCAGACTCTCCTTCCAAAGCCACCGTGCATGGTTGCCTGTCTGGATGGATACTGACACGGCTATACCTGCCCCAGGGCAGCTGAAGCCTGAGTCTCATGATTAGGGAAAGCAGCATGAACAATGAGCTCTTGGTTCATGGGATGGGAAAAGCAGCTACAGGTTCACAATAAGGCCATTTTCATTTTATTGATCGAGGCAGCGTCTCATATAGCCCAGGCTAGCCTTAAACTGCTGTAGATCCTCCTGCCTTCATCGCCCTAGGTTTGGGATTGCAAGCATGTGTTGTCACTCCTGATTTACTGATTTTTTTTTTTGGTAGATTGATTTTTGTTTTTAATTACGTGTGTATGGGGATGCTGGAGGGGTTGAAAGTGTATGGAGGCCAGAGAGGGCCTTGTACCCATGGAACTGGAATCAGAGACATTTGTTCACGGACACCCAGGTCCTCTAGAAGGTCTGTCTGTGCTTTTAACAGCCAAGCCCTCTCTCCGGTGTAGTAAACGGGCCCATTGGACAGTTGCGGCTGCTCGGGTTCGCTCAAGTCTTGGCTTTACACTGAAACGTGTGTTTTTGCTTTTGTCGTAGTACGGAAGGGAAGAGAGTGACTGGACCATCGTGTTACCCTGATGGAAAATCTCAGTGGGTCGGTGGTGTGCCACAGAAGACAGACCTCTGCCCCGAACCGTGACCGCCTGTTTAGTTTTGTATGTTAGAGCTGCAGTGTTCGTGTGTTACCGAGTTGAGGTTTCTCCTTGAGCCACAGGAAGCTGTTGGTACAGATGTCACCCGTAAACGCGGTAGCGACTGCTTATTGTCGCTTTCTCTACCGGAGCTTTCTCTGAGAAGATATGGATGCCTCCCTTTGTCCTGCACAAGATCCAAGTGTCTGTTCGTTAGCAGAAGGTAGCGTTCCTCCAACCAATGAGATGTCTGTCTGTGTGGAAGGACAACTGAGGACATTTCACAGGTGGTGTCCCTCTGGCTCGTGGGTAGCCTGGGGAACACTCAGAGCACGGCCTTCTGTTATTGTTGCCTGGTGAGGTTTTTGGGTTTTGTTGAGAGTTGAACTCCCTAGGTAGCCCTGGCTGGCCTGGTATTCCCTGATGTCTGCCCAGGCTGATCTCAGACTCAACCCAGTCCTCCTGCCTCCACCTTCTGAAGCCGGGTGACGGCTGGGCACTGTCATGTCTTGATTTGTTTTTTGTTTTTTTGAGTCAAAAATGTAGTCACCTGGATTTCTTCCCTCCGTGCTTTTGTAGGTCCTTAAGTCCAAGCTAAGGAGGAACTGCCCCTCCTCGGTATCATGGTCTGTGTAGTTTCACCTGGGGTCTCTGAGGCTCAAGCTCATTGCCCCCACCGCCTTTTATATAGTATTATAACTGCCTGCTCACCGTGCTGCTATGGGCTGGGGCCCTATGCCTTCTAGGTGGTTGTATCCTCAAAGCCCAGCACATGGTAGGTAGGTGTTCCGTATGTATTTACTATAAAAAGAAGCACAGACATATACTTCCTGTCTCCATGCTGGAACCCTTTTGGAAGCCATCCCCGATTCTGGAAGCACACCGCAGTATCACCTCACACTGTCCTTCTTGCCCACTGACTCCTACATCATGGTCGGTTGGGAGAATTATCTTACTGTTTAAGGTTATCTTGGAACTGAAGTGATTGCCCCAGACAGAATTCATGAAAAAGTGCCAACCACATGAAAATTACAATGCTGTACATTCAGTATTAAATGCCAAACAGAAGGGTAGGTAGGGAGATGCTCTAGGTTTTGATCTTCATCTATATTTTGTGCCATTCTCTTGGGTGAGCATTAATGAGCCACCTGGCTGGGTAGCAGAATAATTCCAGACAGTGTTTTCCGTGTTTAGGGACTGTGAGTGGAAAGGTCTTTCATTTCCCGTTTTACCCAGGAGAGAGTCCTTCGCAGTCTGCACACTGCTACTCCAGTTCCTTGGGGAAGGGCAGCAGATTTGGAAATTGTGGAGCTTACAGCTAATATGTGCACCATGTTCCCACTCCCTATGGCTGGTTTCACAGGGGCCTGGCAGTTACCCACAGGATTGATAACAGGATGGAGATAACTCTTAGTTCCCATGGCTCTCGTACCTTTTTCACAAATGCAGGGCTTCTTTCCGTTCTCCACAGATTAAAATCACGTCTCCAAGAAGACCTGAGGTGATGAGGCAGGAGGATTTCTGTGAGTTCTGGGCCAGTCTGAGCTACAGACTGAGTCCCAGTATAACCCGGACTACAGGCTGACCCCCTCTTTCTATCTAATGTAATTAATAAGCTCCAGACACTAAGAAGGCTGAGGTAGGAGGCTGTGAACTCAATCTCCATTCAGTCCTGGAAGCATACCAAGACCATCTGAAGGTTAAACTAGTCAGCTTCCGTATCCTCTGCACACCCATAGATCTTTCTCTGTTGACGTCCGGTCAGGAATGCTCCCACGCATGTCTGGGCAGCCATAGCTACACAGAGGAAGCCTGAGTTACACAGGCCCAGGATTTGTGCTCCATTGCCACCACACCTGATGGTGGTGTTGCGGAGAGCAAATAGTACTGCAAGTTTTGATATCGGAGATTATGGGAGGGAACAGCTGAACAACAGTGTCTCAGCATCAGCACAGGGTCCACATCACTGCAAGGCCCAGCATCTTTCTTAAGCAGACAGAAAGAAAGAGGCATTGTGAGCAAGGCTCAGCTTTCAGGGAACATGGTCAGAAGGCCTTGAAGGGACTTAAAGGGACGGTAGTATAAAGATGGTGACAGGGAGGACACTGGGTGAAGGAAATTTTCCTTCTTTGAAGGGTTTATAGAAGCACAATGACGCACTCAGAGGTGGCTTGGTTGTGCCACGGCCGTCTTGAGTGCAGCGCTCTATGTTTGTGTTAAGAAGCCAAGGTGGTTGTATTCTGCAACAGATAAATTCCTCATTGTTGGCAGGTTCTTCAGATCTGTGATTATGCACACTTTGCTGCTGTCAATAAAACAACTGAAAAACACACTGTCTCGTGTTGTGAAACTGTCAAGCTTGAGTGTGTGAAGTTAGAGTATGTCCCAAGGTTTGGGCAGTAGCTGCAGTAAATGGGGTGGCCATGTTTGAACCCCAGCAGCACCAACCGTAAGGACTGAGGGCACCAGATACCTGAAACCACACGACCATCTCAGATGTTTGAGCAAGAAATAAAATGGGCTTTTAAGAACCACCCTGGGCTGGCGAGATGGCACAGGAAGTAAGACGTAAAGTCAGTCCCAGGACTGACCTGGTTGAAGGAAGAACTAACTTCTACAAGTTTTTCTTTGACCTCTGTGTGCCTGCCATAGAGTGCTCCCAACCATCCACTAACACAGCACCAATGAGTAAATTAAGCAAACAAACCGTCTCCCCTGGCTACAGGGTTTTGTTCCTGCCTTTCAGGAATCACAGAAAGATGATTGCTGTGATGGCCACTCTCAAACATTCACTTGGGATGTCCGAGGGTTCCTCAGACTGTCATCTGAAGGGAGAAGGACCTCCCTGAGTTTGGATGGCGAGACCTAGTGGGCTGGGATGTGGGCCATGAAAGGGAAAGGAACCTGTTGAATGATGGCATTCCCATGTCTCTGCTTACTGACCTATCAGGATGTGAACAAGCAGCCTGGACTTCTCACCTTGGGGCTGCCCACAGCCATCCACCTGGCCATGAAATCTTCTTGCCACGGAGAGTGTATCTCCTCAGACTGAGTCAAAATCAGTCCCCTTTTCTCTACTTGCTTTTGTGAGGTATTTAGTTATGAGCAAAGTTATTGAAACTGGTCTTTTCCTGTTTACTGCCGTAATGAGCTCACCTCCCTGACAAATGATGCTCCAGCATGTGGCTAGTTACCTTCAGAAAACAAAAAACTTTACAAAGAAAAGATACATGGTCAGAGCCCCGAGAGCATAAAAAAGACCTTGTAACTATTAGGTCTTGATCAACTTGCCCTCAGATACACTTGCCTTTGAGAGAATAAAGCCAAATCCATACTTGTCCAAATACACTTGTTACATATACAGTTTTACAATTATGTGTATAGATGTTTTCCTGATTTCATGTCTGTCTGTGCCCATATATGTGCCAGATACCCATGGCTGGAGAAGGATGTTGGGACTCCTAGGAATAGAATTTCACAGGTGTGAGATGCCATGGGGGTGCTAGGAATTGAACATAGGTCCTATGGAAGAACAGCCAGTGTTCTTAACCACTAAGCCATCCCTCCAGCCCCATAGATGTACTTTGGCGGTTTATTCAAATTAATGTAAGTGTAACAAAAACCAAAGGTGTGTTTTGTTTTTTAAAGAATTGCCATACATTGAACTTAAAAAAGTCCTGTGTGTAAGACCTGCACACATTGTTAACCTGTGAAAATCTCGGTCCTTGCTAAGATCTCTAACGTGTAAGTGTTGGGGACACAGCCTAGCGGAGAACACTTGACTAGAATGCCCAAGGCCGTGGGCCCGATCCCCCAGCACTGAGGGAGAAAGAAACAACACATGGAATCGGGAAAGTCGTTGCCCCTTCTGACAGTGACAATGCTGCACTTCCCCAGGAGTGACTAGGGAGATGTGACATTGCTGAGGGAGGTGACATACATTGCAGGCACCACTGAAGATGGAAGAGACAACGTCTCCTTCGGGTTGGACATGTCTCTGTTGACATGAGAAGTACAGATAGTAAGGACGGGGTTTCCAGCTTTTGTGATGATTTTTCTGCAAGGCTGATTTAACATGATCTTAAGCATATTCTCCTCATCAAGGGTCTGATCCCACATAAGACACGTGACCTATGCCTTCTTTTCGTGATAACGGACGTATTATACAGCCTGACTTCCTTTGGAATGTCAAGAGGCAAATTCACGTCCTGAAGTTGGGAACCTCATGATCAGGTAGGTGTAGATGCTGATCCCTAAAGTAGCTGCTGGTTGACTTTTCAGCTCCGCCTAGGAAACCCATGGCTATTTTTCCTCAAAGTCATGGTTACCAGGGGGTTTTAAAATGCAGTGAAAAATGTTTTTCCAATTTTCCATTTTTTTCTTTAAGTATTTATTTTTATTTTATGTGTCTGTGTGTTTTGGTTCCATGTATGTCTTTGTAACTGCATGTGTGAAGGGCCCACAGGCCAGGAGAGGGTATTGGATCCCCTGGCCCTGGAGTTAACAGATGTTTGTGAGCAGTCATGTGGGTATTTGGAGTTACACCTGGGTCTTCTGCAGGAGCAGCTGTCTCTCCAGCCTTTGCTGTCCCATTCTTAAGAGATCTGTGCTGTCTCTGGTCCCTAATTTTCAAAGTTTTTTTTAACTGAATTATATATTTTTAAAGGTAGTTATATAATCAAGTAAGCATTTCTCATTGAAGATTCCTTCACCCTGGGAAACAGGCGATCCCTGCTTTAATCTCTGGCATCTTCTGAGCTAGGGAATATCTTAACGTGCAGATAGATGGTTAATCATAGGAGAATGGCTAAGAGCTGTTGGCTGATCTTCTGGCCAGGAGCTCACTCCTTAATTGGTGAGTAGAGGAGACAGAAACTGGAGTGGGAACCAATTGTATGAGTCAGGTTCTACCTTCCACATGAATAGAACCTCGATGGCAAGTCTCGTGTCTGGCTACTCTTCAGATCAGTGAGTTCCAAGGACAGCAGATGGTCCTCTGTTAGGTGGTCCTCACCCGTCAGCTGAGGTCCTAAGAATACGGCCAATTCTGCCTGAACTTCCCAACCTGCTTGGCTCCCTGTGCAGTCTGGTGCTTGGCTCCCTGTGCAGGCAGGTTGCAGATCAAGACAACAGCATCAAAACTCCACACCTCCCAGCTGTTACCGTGCCCCGTGCAGAGGTTAATTTTGACTGTGGGCTGTGTCATAGTTAGCTTCAGCTGTGAATCTGACACCTGGAAGAGGGTGCTAAACCGAAGAATTGACTGCATCACATTGGCCTTTGGGCAGGTCTATGGCCATTTTTTAAATTATTACTGAAGATATAGGTGGGCTCAGCCCTGTGTGTGTATCCCTAGGCCAGTGGGCCTGAACTGTGTAGAAAGGCAGCAGAACGTGGGCCCTGGAGCGCCTGTAGAGGGCATTTCTCTATGGATTCAAGCTCCTTTGAGTTCCTGTCTTGACTCCTCTAGATGCTGGACTGTTTGAAACCCATAAGATGAAATAAACCCCCTCCTCCCCAAACTGTTTTTGGCTGTGGTATTTAACACAGCAGCAGAAAGCAGAATGAAGCAGGCTCACCTTTGGGGATGATTTGATTCTGACACTGGTGAGGTGGAGGCATGAGAATCAGAAGTTCAAAGTCATCCTTGATTACTTAGCGAGTCTGGGGCTGCCCTGGGTTACCTGAGACCCCAGAGGGGGGGTGGGGGGGTGGGAATTAAGACACTTGGTAGGCACTGAATTGGCTGGCCTCTTTTAATTCCCAAATCATGAGTTAATTGGATTCCTTAAACTCTCAGTGATTGAACGGAGAAATACAGAGATGCATGCCACAGACTGAGCCCCCTTTCAACTTTCTCTGAAGAACCCAGGCTCACCCAGCGACAGATGATATTGTCCCTGTGCTGAGGAAGAAATGTGTGGAACGTTTTCTCCTGGTTCATTTCAAGCGGTTCAGAGAACTAATCAGCTAAGGCACCTCAGCAAGTTTACTTTAATGGCCAACAGCACCCAAGAGAAACATGAGTTCCGAAGCTCTCGGTGCTGCACTGCCCCCCAAAGAGGGAGGACAGTCATCGGGCATCAGTCGCAAGCATCTGGGAGGGAAGTAAATGTTTGTGAGGGCTCGGTTACAAACTGTCCCTTAAATTATTGTTAGTTTTTCTGGCCTGAATACTATGCCTTGAGAAGGTACATGTACCCAATTCTTTTTTTAAGTTGGGTGGAAATGTTTTGGTGTGTGTGTGTGTGTGTGTGTGTGTGTATGTGTGTGTGTGTGTATATGTGTGTGTGTGTATGTGTGTGTCGAATGGAACCTAGCTGTAAACGTGAGTGTAAATGTGTGTGTAATTGGATGGGATGAGCATCAGGTATGTAGCCACCTTCACATTAAAATCTCATCTCATGGCTTTACTAAACCCATGGACACACTGACCACGATGGTGTCCCCTGGAACCTGCTGAATTCACAGTGTAAAGCCCAGGTTCACTACATGCTCATTAACAGTGCTGTGCTCGTCAGACTCAGCTCAGGAAACATTCATCATTGTCTGGACTTGCCTTTCTTCGTGCTTCCCGTTTACTCATGTTTGCAAGTGTGTATGTGTGCATCTAATGTGTTCTCTGTGGATGGGTATTTTGTCTGCATGCCATGTGTGTGCGTCATGTGCATGCAGTCTCCGTGGAGGCCAGAAGAGGGCGTCAGATCCCCCTGAAAATAGTTACTAGTTGTGAGTTGTCGTGTGGGTGCTGGGAACTGAACTTGGTTCCTTTGCAAGAGCAGCCAGGGCTCTTGACCACTGAACCCATCTGGAACCTGTCCCCTCTTAACAAACTTTGCTGTTGTTTTAAGATAGAGTGTCATATAAGCCAAGCTGGCCTCACATATGTCCCAATCTTCCTGTCTCCATCTCCCAAGGGCCAAGTTTATGTTTCACTGGGGAGCTAGGGAAGGCCTCTGCTAAATGAGCCACATCACCCTCCCGTTCTGTTCCTTCCTGTATATCCTCTAGTTAAATGTGCAGAGTCACACTTCCTCCAATAAGACCCGTCGCTAGGAGCCAATGGGGCCCATTTGCGTTCACACCACACCGTCTCCCAGCACAGACAAGTTCCTTTAAAGCACTCATCATCTAACGGGGCGTGTGTTGCCGCCTGGCTTGCAGCTTCCCTGAGTCTTCTTAGAGAGTTCATTGGAAACAGGCCCGACAGCAAAGTGACGGCTGAGGTCGGGAGCACGAAAGCAGCTGTGAGGTGCTCATCCTAGCATCTGGCAGCTCCCGAACAAATCCCGGGACTCCCTGGATGAGCTTCCTCCCTGGCCTCCATGTG